GGTTTTGTGTTAAAGTACATTAACAACATAGTTACATACGTTTTGTATTCGACACAAGTCTGTGTGCTTTCTTCCTGTATGTTCCTGCCATGACATAAACTGCTCATAACCAATTGCCCCTTGCGGGGTTAATAAAGTTGTTGATTGATTGAAGTAGTTGAGAATTAGTAAAGTGGGTTTATAGACCGTTTTGTCTATATGCTGCTGCAGTTGATATTCTTTGATATTTCATGGGTAAAATAACTTTTTAGCAGGTCTTCTTTTTACCATCAAGTCAAGTTAATAACATCTTGCAGCAAGTGCAAACATTACAACTCAGCCATACTGGACACCTGTCATCCTAACAGCCTCTCCTCCTCTCTCTCTCTCTCACAGGTATGAGTTCGGCTCGGCCCTGTTCGTGGGCTGGTCCGCGGCCAGTCTGACGGTGCTGGGCGGCGGCCTGCTGTGCTGCTCCTGCTCTAAAGAGGACATGCGAGGGCAGCAGTATTACCGCCAATCACAGCCCTCCACAACCAGGGAGTACGTGTAACCCCCACTCCCTCCCAGCAGCCACTCAAACAGAGAGCATCGGACAAGCTCCTCCTCAAATTATACCTGTTTCAGAAACAAAAAACAAAGAGACTATCGAGTGTACATACATGACATTTATGTAGGACTCACACACTGCCATGAATACAGACACAGGAACACAAACATTACACTCAAGCACAATATCCACCAATTGTCTATTGGTGGCAAAGCCCTTAAATAACCTCCATATTGTATGTCAATCATCCATCTTATAATGATTTAATAGAGTTTCAATAGAGTGGTGCAGTAATGAGTCCTAGACCCGTAAATGAGTTCCCTCGAGATCAATAACATAAAGTATTTGGTGAACAAAAGCTTAAGAGATGTTCACGCTTTGTTCTACAACATAACATACGTCAGTAAATACCTCACTCATTAATGCAGCCCTTTACGGGTCACTTTTGGAAAAGAGATTTTAATCTCAATGAGTCTTTACCTGGTTAACCCTTAGATGCATAAATCTGTCTTTTTTGACCCGGTGAGGTGGTTTTCTTGAAGTATCTTTGTAATTACATTTTTTTATCATTTCATATTCCAGCTATTCCTCAAAAAATATGTTTTGGAAATCATACCATTCTAATTTAAATTTTAAATTTTATATATTTTAAGAAATTGTAGTTTTTGTATTTTCTACCCCAAGCTTCCATAAGTTTGTCAAAAATGACCCGCATGCATTTTCTATGGGATCCTGTGGGAAAACGTTTTTTTTCCAAATCTAAAGAAAATCTCTAAAATTATAAATAGTGAACAATTAAATAAAGTATTTCTAGTGTGAACCAAAATATAATACCAAATATTATACAAGTGATTTTTCTTAACCAAAATGACAAAAATTGTATAAAAACAAATATTATTCTAATACGGGTCCTTTTTGACCCACTTATGGAAGAGTGTAGGGTCCAGTCACTCGTGCATCTAAGGGTTGAATAAAGGATATATATATATAATGTCCGAAGCTTATATGTGTCATAAAAACAGTAACTTAATTAGACTATTAAATGCCTTTAGCTTAGCGTCGGTTACATGAAATACTATGACCGCTATGTAGTTTGTTTATAGCCTAACGGTAGCTTTTTACTTCTGGTGATTCAAGTTGAGCTTCAAAAATAAAATAATTGTGTAAATATGTGGGGATTATCCCACTGAACAAAATGCGTTAGCATCTTAAACGCTTATTTTCTGCAATATTTCAAAATCCAATGGAAAAATGCTGTTTCAATAAGGGAGCCCTTGCGATGCTAACTTCTGGGTCCGCATACAAAAAAACTTCATCACTGCATCACTCTATTGTGAACGAAAACCTCTCATGTACCGTAATGTCATTATTTATCGACCTCAAGTAAGTGCAGCTGCTATAATTTGACCACAAAAACTCACACTTTAAAATAAAAAGGTAACAAATCAAAGCTAAAATGTAAAGTGTACCAAAGCAGAGAGAATGGACATGGAGCTAGAAATAACGATACTTCAGACATTTGCTGAACGTTCATTAGCACGTCCTTTGCTTCCTGGTTGGAGCTGCATCTGTGTGTTGCCTCCATATTGCTTTGTGTATTCACTCTCCACTGGTGCAGTTACATTGTGTGAAGGGTAGGCCCTTACTTCAAAACTACTGGCAGTAACTAACCTAAGCCAAATAGAAGAATGATGTTCATAACGAATTTGCAGAAATAAATTAACTGCCTGATTTTGCTTGATAAAAAAAGAGTGGGAAGCCCATTCTGAAGTCATTGAGAAGTCAGAAGATCCAAGTCCTACAAAGTCAGCCAATAAAATACCCACCAATTAGCGTTTTTTATTTGTTGACTGTGAACTGTCTCCGGGTTATAAAACCACTCCACAATTCAAGAAAAAAATCACCAGGACTTGATCGCAGTAGCCTAATGAAGACTGTTTACAGTAGGCTACTTGTGATTAGCATAACCACAATGACAATGAGGACGCAGGTAGGTTCAGCGTCCTGAATAATTAAGGCCTCAGGCTGCCATTATTTTTTATTTCTGACAAACTTCCTGCCTTACAAAGAAGAAGCTAGTTCTCAAATGGTCCACAATAGTGTTAAACCAGTGCTTCTCAAACTGTTTTCAGTAATGTACCCCCTTTGAAATATTTTCTCAGCCAAGTACCCCCTGACCGACCCCGAACATTTTTGATCGAAAAAGCCTATATAAATAATTACAATATAGTGATGTTCCCTATATTGTGAAAAACTATAAAATACAATACACACATTTGACATGTTTATATGAGGACCCCCTTGGTGGTTCTAGGAATATTTTATATAAAATTGTGTTTTCTATTTAACTTATATTTTTAATCATGCATGGGTTTTTATTAAACTTTTTTCTTTTTTTTAAAAATCTCGCGTACCCCCTGCAGTACCCCAACGTACCCCTAGGGTCCCGCGTACCCCCATTTGAGAATCACTGGTTTTAAACAACCATTTGAGCATGAAGACACAATGTGAACTGCAAGTGTGGAGATGAATTGTTGTTATTAAAGAGTTTGATGAAGTATGAATGCTGTTAATGATAATTTCATCATTTCACGCTACACTAAAAACAAGCAGAGGCTCTCATCAACACGTATCACCAAATGCTCCATCTCCTAACACCATCATTCAACATTCATACAATCCTCTTAATCTCCTGTATAACCAAAGCAGTCTAAACTAATTCATGTTATTCTCAAACACGGGTAATCTCACTGTGGATCATAAGCTATTCTACACTCGTACTCAGAGAGTTAATATAAGCCAGCATGAAGCTTAAAACAGCTGTGATTTCCCCTTCATTTTTAGAAGCCTCACATTAGAGCCTTTAAAACTCAACAGTGGGCTTAATTGACTCTTGAGTTCCCTCTTAATGCTCCCTCATACATATCCCTTGTTCCTGTTTCCTTAGAGAGCCTGTCTATCACTGTTCCAGATAATCAAGCCATTCACTTTTCTCAGAATTGCTTCCATTCCCCCCATTTCCGGCCTCTCTTCTAGGTAGACACTTGTTTCTGGAGTGCTCTGTTTTGCCAGATTGGGTTGGGGGGTTGTCAGGTCAATAGAAAAAAATCCCAGCGCCCTTTAAATAAAAGGGGGATGTCAGTCGTCGCTGGTCTGTCATTCGCAGCTGTGATTTGAATAGGGATTGCGCAACAACAAGTCTGATGAAAAACTACCTGTAAAGCTAAGTCCAAAGAAAACAAACCTTGCAGCTCTAGATTCTAGATTCTTCTCGTCTAACTCTCAGAAAGAAAGCTAATAAGTATCCATCAACATATTTTAAAAAAGTGGCTACAAACTTAACTACAACATATATTATGTAGTTTCCCTCCCAGTCCATCATTATTAATATTCATTTTGTCATCTCTTAAAACTGTAGATTACCGAAATGTAGTATCCTCTTCTTGCTAACATCTTTATAATCACTAATAATCCTTGGTTGCCGTGGAATTGTCAAAATAAATCAGTGGAAAATGTCATGGGGTTACGGAAAGATGTGAAGAATAATTCATTAGGACTTAGGAAAGGAGACTAAGAAAATCTGACTGTACTTACACTGAGCGTTGTATTTATGATGCGTCATTGGATGTGATTGATATCTGCGGTGGTAAATTTTTCCATACAAGGGATTACAAAAATCTATCTAGATACTGTCCTTTGCCCTGTAAGTTCGTTTAATGTTGTTTTATGAACGTGGAGCAGTTAAAAAATATATTCTCCATTACCAAGGTTGGAGATTAGATAAAAAAATGTAAAATGTAATGGTTGCTCATCGCCCTCCTGTCCACACGTATTAATCCACAGGACTCACCATTCAAACATTTTACAAAAAAGTTTAAGAAGCGTAAACACTTGGAAATGTTGACTTTATCTGATCATTTCATATTTCGTCTTTTAATTTAACGGTGTTGAAAGTTACACAAATATTGTCAGTTTGATAAATTATGGTATAAATTGAGTTTAGGGTTAATAATAATAATACATAATACGTGAGACTTATATAGCGCTTTTCTAAAAACGCAAAGACGCTTTGACAAAGAATAAAAACAACAAAAAAACAAAGAAAAATACAAAAAGAGATAAACAGAAAAAAGGGGGGGGGGGTTGGTCAGTGGTTGAATGCAGTGTTGAGCAGGTGGGTTTTGAGTGATGTTTTGAATGCGGTGAAAAAATGCTTAAACAATCTCATAGGCTGTTTCCGTGAATACCGAAAGTCCTTTCACGCAAAACTTTGCGGTATTTCGTGAAGGATGGTCCAGTATTTCCTAAGCTAAAGGAGTTAATAAAGACAGCATTGAAGCTCCTTTCCTTATCCTTTAAAGCATTCAAACAGCTCTTATCCTAGCCGTCACTTAGGTACTTCCGGGTCATTTCACTACGTAAGGAACCTTCCAAAGCAAAATTGACAATTCGACAGCAACCCTAGTTTCTTTCTTAGTAACCCTAACCCTAACCCTCACCCTAACCCTCACCCTAACAGCTGTTGGCGAATCTGAGCGGTCTTGATGTGTCTCTTATTTCCCCTCCTGTCCTCTAATCCTGTTCTTCTCTGACTGTCTTCTTCTCTCCTCTAATTCAGGGCAGAGTTGTTGAGTGAAACTAGTTTCCCTGACTGATCAGCCCCTGCCTTATTATCGAGGACTGTCCGACTGTCCAACCACTGTCTTCCCCTATCTTTCCCCGTTATCGCTTAGACCCTAAATTTGGATAGTAGAATATTCTCTTTTCCTCAGTACTACATCTGCACCTATCAGTCTTGTCGGGAGTCCTGTCTGAGCCTTTTTCTGTAAATATGGACTCTTAAAGGATATGTGAGAGATAAGACGACCTCCTCCATTTCAACCCTCTCCTCCCAACCCTCCTCTGTCTCCCTATTGGTGGAAAGTTAACAATAATTTGAAACCCTTTGTGGTCCTGTTGCGCTGATTTATGATTTCGCTTATATCCTATGACCTCTGGGTGTTTTTGTAAATGTTTCTTTAGTTTATTTTGTGTGTGCGCTGTGACTGTACTTTGACTGAAACGTGTCTTTTTTTCCCTTTTGAATTGCAGACCAAATGTTAAAAGTACCCCACCAGAGAAAAGGGAGCAGTACTTGTAGTTTGGGAGAGTCTTCTGGTCTTACCATGGTTTAGATTCTGTCAACAGACAAAACCCTCCCACTGAGGAATTCAAAAACAGACAAACAGACACAATTAAAGTAAGAAAAGCATCCTTTTTAAAGCAGCAACATCAATTTGAGTCTTTGTTGAAGTAAAAATATGTTTTAATGTAATAGTTGTTTCAGTAGTTTTGAGAAAGATGATATCCTGGTCTTGTCTGTTTTGTTGACTTCAGGAGAAACAGTAATTCAGGGTATGTTTCTGTAACATGTTAAAATGCCCGGGTGTACATACCACCTACTCTATTCTTTTTTTTATTTGTACTACATACATAATGTTTTACTACAGTGCCTTATAACACATGTTTGTGCACATGTATGTTTTTGACTTCATGGATTCGTTAAAGTCTCCCATCCCTTCTGAGGGATGTGTTCTCAGTTCCTCTGCCAGCCATTCTGTGTGCCTTTTTCTATTGTTGGATTTCTGAAAATGAATGTGAAGCTACTCTAAAGTACCACTTATGAAACAACAAATACATACGATTGATCTTAAGCATAGTGCCTTACGCCACTGTTTGTAATAAGCTGTGTGCCTGTTACCGAGTAGCCTGGATTGAGGATATACCCAGTACATTCATTTTGTGTCGTTAAGTGCCATTATCATTAAGAGTCATCGTATTATTGACTGTAAAGGACGTACTGTACTTTGTGTTGTCTCCTGTACTAAGGAACGCCAGTTTTCTGAGTGTTCAAATGCCCTTCTGATGCCTGCATTTATTTACCATGTCATTCCTTTCTCTAATATTTACCTCCTCAATGTTGTGTATCATCTCATTTACAGTATACCCCTGTCTGTTTCTTTTAGAATAAAGTAAACAGAGGAATAAAAATGGATTTGGTCACGAGTCAGTGCTTTTTCAGTTTTTTCCTAACTTTTCACATTGCCTGACTATTTTTCACCGCTCCCCTTCTACTCGTTTCTCCTTTCCAGCTCAAATACTTATTTTGCACCCCGTTGTTCAATAATTGCAGACGTGGAATTCCACTTCTGCTCCACTGGACTGTAGCCCACTCTCTGAGGCGCACTCACAACTTGCTCACCACTACAAATGATAACAAGGCTTGAAATGTTCTCCCATGTTGAGATTCAGCTATGACGCATGTGTTGAATTTCAAGCTTGGCGTTAAGGGTTAGCATCAATGTGAGAGGAAGTCACGCTTTTCGAGTATCAAGATTTTCATCCCAGCTGGTGATACTACTTCTACGTCCACCTGCCAACACAACAAGGGTTATTTGTTGCTGCAATCATTCTTCCTGTCCATACTTGCCAACCCAACATCCAAATCCTTCATTCTGTGCAAAAATGCATTTCACAGTTCGAGCAAAGCTTAAAATGATGCATTGCCAGTCTGAGCCAAATCAAAAAGGTTAGTGTTAAGGTTACGGTTTCTGTCAACCCACTCAGCCAATAAGAATGTAATTACTAGACAATTCTGCAAAACCCTAACCCATATAAAATGTCCTGCACAAATTATTGATTTCTACCATATTAACAGATAGCAACCATCGTATGTTAAAGGTCCCCCTTTTGAAGAAGAAGTGATATCTCAGGTCTCTTCCAAGGTAAGAGACGTGGGACAGAATCCACAACCCTCATATTAGGCGCGTTCACACCAAGTACTTTTCCCACAAAGGTTCCTGAGAACTACGATTTAGTTGCGTTCACACCAAAAAGTCCCAGGAACTAAATTAATTCTAGAGAACCTTTTTTACCCCCTTTTCAGTCCCTGCTAGAGAGCAGGGACTTTCGGGGGAGAAAAAGGTTCCTGTGTCTGATTGACTGGGCGGAATGCAAACCACGCCCCTTCAAACTCCCAAAAACTTTTGTGAAGCCGCCATTTTATTATCCTCGCATTGCATTATTAGCATTAGCATTAGCCCAGCGCAGAAACGCAGAGAGAATAACTTATGACAACACAAAATAAAACATGGGAGCGGTGGAGATGAGGAGGTGTCGGCGTTCGAGCCGTTTACTCGGAAGGCTTCAGTAGAAGCTGCTGGGAGTCCCAGCAGCTTCTACTGAAGCCAGTCCCTAACTCCGGGGACTTCCAGCCGGGGATTTTGGGCGGCAGTATACGCCGTGAAGTTGTTTGCGGCCTGCCAGTAAACCCAAAGCAGAAGAAGAAGAAGTGACGTCAGCGGCTTCATTTGCCTAATCCACCCCCAGGAACTAATTTCCGGTGTGAACGCGATCTGTACTTAGTTCATGAGAACTAAAGAGTTCTCAGGGACCTTTGTGGGAAAAGTACTTGGTGTGAACGCGCCTAATGATCCTCTCAGCAGTGTTTACGATGCGCTGCAGTGTCTTGCGGTTGGATGCTGTGCAGCTTCCAAACCACAAGGTGATGCAGCTGCTGAGGATGCTCTCTATGGCGCCTCAGTAGAAGGTGTGCATGATGAGTGTGGGAGCTCCTGCTTTCTTCCGTTTTCGGAATGAAGTAGAGGCGCTGCTGGGCTGGTGTTGTTGGTGTTGTTGTTGTCCAGGAGAGGTCCTCAGTGATGTTCACCCCCAGGAATTTGGTGCTGCTCACCTGCTCCACTGCATCACCATTGATTGTCAGGGGGTGGGGGGGTTGGGTTGAGGTTCTCCTGAAGTCGACAACTATCTCCTTTGTTTTCTCCACATTAAGGAAGAGATTGTTGTCTATGCACCACGTGGCCAGCTCGTTCACCTCCTTCCTGTAGTGGGTCTCGTCGTTGTTGCTGATGAGACCCACCACGGTTGTGTCATCCGCAAACTTGACAAAATGGTTGGAGCTGTAGGTGGGTGTGCAGTCGTGGGTCAGCTGGGTGAAGAGGAGGGGGCTGAGCACACATCCTTGGGGGGAACCCGTAGTGTGATGGTGTATGAAGTGTTGCTGCCGACCCGTACAGATTGGGGTCTGGCAGTGAGGAAGTCCAGCAGCCAGTTGCAGAGAAAGGGGCTGAGGCCCAGGTTTGTTAGTTTAGAAACCAGCTGCTGGGGAATGATGGTGTTGAATTCTGAGCTAAAGTCTATGAACAGCATTCTAACATATGAGGTTTTAGTGTCCAAATGGGTGAGGGCTGGGTGGAGAGCAGAGGAGATGGCATCCTCAGTGGACCGCTTTGCTCGATATGCGAACTGAAATGGGTCCAGCGATGGGGGGAGGGCGGATTTCATTTGCTTCATGACTAGCCTCTCGAAGCACTTCATGATGGGTGGAGGTCAGCGCTACGGGGCGGTAGTCATTGAAGCCGGATGGAGATGACTTCTTCGGCTCTGGTATGATGGTTGATACCTTGAAGCACGAGGGAACAACAGCCAGGCTCAGTGAGATCTTGAAGATGTCTGCGAGGACATCTGTGAGCTCAGCTGCGCAGTCCTTTAGCACACAACCAGGAATGTTGTCGGGCCCATAGGCTTTTCGGGTGTTAATCCTTAACAGTGTGCTTCTCACACTGCCTGGGGACAGACAGACAGATAGCCTGGTCGTTGGGTGGAGGTGTTGTTTTCCATTGGAAGCCATTTGGAAAAGTATTTCAAAAATACTTGGCAGGTGATTGGATCAATCTGTCTATCACCTACTATCATGGGCCACTTCTGATTGGTTAACAATGACTGGTACGTGTGGAGCACAGCACTTCTGATTGGTGTGGAAGACTGACACACAAGAAGAACAAAAACTAAAAAAATCGCAGGCTTTACGATTTGATAATTGCATCATTTAAAATCGCGATTTCGATTTAAAATCGATTAATCGTTCAGCCCTACCTGCCACAGGCTCCGTGTGTCTCTGCTGTCACGGAAGTGTTATGTTATTTTCTGGGAGTACTGTCGTTTGGCTTTCCAGATGCCACGGGATAGGTCGGCCCTGGCTGCTCTGAGACCAGCTGGATTGCCCTCTCTGAAGGCAATGTTACAGGCCCAACATGTGTGGGCTAGTAATATTACGAGGCCGCTTAGTTCCTCTGTAAGCGTAGTATCCAGTATGTGGGTTGTTGTTGTTGTTGTTGTAGTTGTTTTCTTGTCCAGCAAGAACTTGCAACTGTATTGAATACTCCTTGCCTGTCGGTCCGGGGTAGTTGGAGTTAGCAGACAAAACATTTAAAACTAGGGCTGTCAAGTTAACGCGTTAATAACGCGTTAACGCAAAAAAAAATTAACGCCACTAATTATTTTAACGCATGTGTATTTTTTGTCCTCGGCCGCCCCGTTTCAGAGCGCATCGAGTTTAAAATACCATCTACAAGCTGATGCTGACAGCTGCTGACAGTCTGCTTGCGGCAGACCACACTTCCACGCTCACCGGCAGGCACCGACTGGCCATCGGGAGGACCGGGAGGGTGTGTGTATGTGTGTCGCGAGCGAGCGAGAGAGAAACCTTACGTGTATTGTTGTTGTTGTTAGCATCTGGTGCTAGCTAGCTGCGCTAACGGATATAAGGAGCTGTTTAAATGAAAACAGAGGAGTGACATTTCGCCACAACTGCGCCGAGCACTTGACTTTATGCAGGTTGCCAGACAGTGGGACATTGTACGAAAAGTCAGCACACTCAGCACGGATAGCGCGCGCAACATGATTGCAGCGTCCAGGCAGCTCCCGTTCGAGCATGCCTTGAGTTGGACATAGCTCCAACGATCCATCACACACACACACACACACACACACACACACA